GATAACCTTGCTTTTGGAGCCAGTACTTCATTCTAAAAATTGCGCAATTTGTCAGTTTCCTCCGTTGCACATTAGACCATAATGGCAATGTTTGTCAGTGGACGAGGATCCCGTGTAAAGTACTTTTAACTAAAAAGCAGTCACGTGTGTGTAAACATCGCGGAGATACACGGTCCAGTGGGACATGAGCGGCTTTTCATTCGGAGATGTACGTGTCTGTTGCCTGGTCTGGATTCCGACGGCCCGGAGATGTAATGCAGCGACTGAGACCATGACCTCCGGACGTAGTAAAACTCTGTGTCTCCTCCTGTTCTGCTTGAATTTGCGCCTACGAGGCGTGCAGATAGACTTCGGCTGCGCTCTTCCCCAATTCTCATTCAGCCAATGTTAAAATTGTACGCATAACATTAATTAAACTACCCGTGTTAAGAGTTAGCCAACACAACAGCTTAATTCAGTTCTGCTCCCAATTACTAAAGAAAATGTTACGGATGCAAGTGGCACTTAAGTATGCGGATCGTTTAATTAGTATAACTTGGAATATTAGCTACGGAATAAAACGTTTCCGTACCGTCGCACGTCCAGCGTTTATCTCTCACCCACCGGCGGTCAGCGGCGGTCCTGCTTATCCGCGTTGAGCCATAAACTTTTCAAAACATGTGCGGACTGACGCTGCTGGTTTACTTACGGTCTGACATTGACAATTTGAAATAAATAAACAAATTAAAAATCGCTCATCAGAAAACGCCTTTTCAAATGCCCCCCGAATAGTTCCTTATGAAATTAAACACAGATCCTTTTAACTGGTTGATATTTTGACCAAATTTGATCAGTCTTATCCTAAGCAATATACGATTATTTTCATTCAATAACTTGCATATATCAAATAGATACAGCGACAAGGGATGAATGATTTTCCTAAATATAAGCTTTATATAGACTAATATTGATCATAAATTACAGTTTACAATATGGTTTTAATTAGTATTTTTGAAAGCAATTGCAAGAGGATACCGCACATGAAAAGATCTGAAGCAATACCATAATCTTACAAATTAAATCCATTTTTTTCTAACAAGTTTCCCCGTCACCACCTTACCGGCGATGAACCTCCGTCGCTCTTGTTTTTCACGCCCGTCCACATGTTCGTGCCGCCCAGCTGCGGACCTCATGGAAAGTGCGTCTCCGTCGTCTGATCTGGCTCCCGCAGCTCTGCGCCGGTCCGATATGCCGAAGAGCCCGCACCCGCAAAGCTCGAGGAAGCCCACCGCAACCCATTGCGCAAAGTCAGGTAAACCCAGCTGATTAAAACGACTGGATATCGATGCCTTACGACCAGAAGTCTGGGATGATAGATATTCCAGCTAGGTGGAGCTTATACAATATACAATTCCTGGCGTTGGTAGAAAGATAATTAACTACAACATAATTACATTTATTAGGTTACAACAGGGTCTAAGAATATTGATTGATTTAGGGCAGCGGTTCCCAAACTTTCTCTGCAGGGCCCCCCTTTTCTAGATAGGAACATTATTGAGCCCCCCCATTCAAACTACAGGTTCAGATTCAAACTTTATTTGAAATACAACTCACTTTTCTAATTGAGCGAAACAAATGCAATTACAAAATACAAATGGTGCAATTTCACCACTGTGGGAGAAAAAAGAGCAATCAATTAAAAATAAAAGTCCAGCATAAGTTTGAAATTATGCAAATGAAGATTTAACATTCCTGTTAATATTCATTGGCGTACACAAATTAAAGTTTGTCTTACGTTTACCGCATTTTGTTTTTAATGATAACCGCAGGTTTCAGCCTATGCTATAGCACAAAACAACACTAAATTATACCCATTAATTGATAGTCTCCCTGCACTTCATGTAGAAA